CTTCCCAGATATGTGAATGTGTTTGTTTCTCGTAAATCTTCTCCATTTAGCTTTATCGGCAGGTCCTGGCTGTTATTGATTCTGATGACCTCTGTTTTGTTTTTATTGATTTTTAGTCCAATTTTGAAGGCTATATTTTCTATATAAAATATATAAATTTCATTTCGTTCGGGGGGGGGGGGCGGTAAAAAAAATTTCCTGGAAGAAACTCTGTTCCCAAGCTTGTAGATCTACATTAAAAAAAAGATAACAGTGGCGAAGCACGCTTATGCAGCTAGTTCTATAGATTTATAACAATCCGGTGAATATACATAGATCTATTATTAGGCCTACATAGAATCTAACTGGTGGGGTTCGGTAAGGCTGCGTTTACACTACACGTCGGCAGACCGAATTTCTGTTTCTGGCAACAAGGCCGAACAACTGGAAAGCAAACAAAAAGTATAATCCAGTACTGTTGGTTACACTAGATCCGAACTCATCGTCCGAGTCTTCAGGCACCTGATGATGAACTTAAAATTTTGTTTCTGTTCTGACGGAAAACACATTCTGATGAAAATTTATCTGGCAGGGATAAACAAAAAAGAAAATGGAGGGCTTCAGTACAAATAACGTTGTTGTGGTACTTGACACGGAGAAGCTTATTTTACTAGTTCAAGAGAGAACGCCACTATGGGATACATCGAACCCATGCTACCACAATAGAGACATCTCAAAAAAATTATGGTCTGAAATAGCTGATGAACTCGGATGTACAAGTTAAGTAACAAATTAAGTCATTGTTGTGATGTGATTCTAGATCTAGATCTAGATCTAGATTCTATATTCTATTCTAAATTTCTATACTAATACTTAACTAACTTAACTGCTTAACTACTAGAATTACTAGATCTAGATTCTTGCTTACTTTAGTTTAGACTTTTAGTAGACTAGCTTTAGACTTTAGCGGCTTAGCCCCACTTTTACTAGATTCTAGATCTAATCTAGAATCTAGATCTACTAGATTTAGATCTAGATTTTAGATCTAGAATCTAGTTACTAGTAGATCTAGATCTAGGTCTAGTACTAAAAGATCTAGTCTAGATCTAGTGATTGATTCTTCTACTCAACTCAATTTTACCACTACTTTTGAATCTAAATCTAATATTTAATAGTTAATTAGTATTAGACTTTAGACTAATACTAGTAATACTAATTAAGTATTATTATTTACATTTAAACAAGGTAGTCTAGTAGAAAAGTCTTGATAGCTATCTATCTACTCTACTAACTTAACTGAACTTAATACTTAACTAAACTAACTAAATGTAACTGATGTAACATGTTGCCTACTCTGTCATTGACTAATCAGTGATCACTAATGAATGATTATTTACTATTTAGTAGAGAAGAGACTAATGTAATTGATTTAATTAAATTACTAATAATCAAGTAGCAAATTACTAGTAAACTAGTAATAAGTAGTAGAATTAAAATTAAATTAAGTAGAATCTATCTATAGGTCTAGTAGGCCTAAATGTAGAATATAGATCTAGCTATTTATTAGTTAACTATTTAACTACTATAGTCTATAGTTGAACATTTTAATTTTTACTGATTAGCATAGCTACTAAATATTAAATATCAAAGATGACTGTTTTATTTAATTATTAAATTAGCCATTAGCTTATGTAAACATTTAATTATCAGCCTGTAGAAAGAATGGTGTCTGAATTCAGAAATAAATATATTAAATGGAAGTTAAAAGCATATAATCTAAATTGTTTTGTTTGTATATTTCAGTGTCACAAGCAAAAGCCAAATGGCAAAATTTACGAGACACCTTTAGGAAAGAGCACACAAAGAACATAAAAAAAGTAACTGGAAGTGCAGCAGCTAACACTAAAGTACCATGGAAATACATAAATCAATTAGCATTTTTAAATGATGTTTTTGTTTCTAGACCAATGCTAAGCAGTTTTCCATATACATCAAGTTCTGAATTTAGTGAAACTATTGTGGCTGAAATAAATTTCAACAATTCGGACTCACTGGACGAAGCTGCTGTGCGAGATCCAGAAATAGTTCTGCCAATTGAAAAACCAAAGCTACAATGCAAAAGAAAGGCAGACAAAGCTGACGCCATTAATCAGTTGATAACATTAGAGAAAAAGAAATTAGAACAAATTGAAAAGATTAATGACAAACAGGAGATCAAGAATGATGATAACTACCATTTCCTGATGAGTTTATTACCATATTTTGAAGATATGCCTAAAAGAGTGAGCTTGTTAACAAGGATGAAGATACAACAAGTTATTTTTGACACAATTGATGATGCAGACTGTGAATGAGCAATGTGTAATGATTAAGAACTTTGTATGTTATCTGTTATTACATAGTCTTCTTTATTCTTGACTAATGTTAATTATTTGAAATTACAAACATGTTATTGGTTATTGAGTCTAATTATATAAAAGTATTTCAAGTATGCAATAATGCTACTAATTTGTTTTATTTCAACTGAATCATCAGTGTTGTTTCAAAACAGTACATTTGATCTTGTGATTTTGTTATACGGGTATTGCTAGAAACTGTATTATTTATTTTTATTCATTGACTTGTTTTTGCTATTATTTATCACTTTGAAATCATTACTTTCAAGTTTGTTTATGGTGAATTTGTGATTCTACTGATATCCAGTTTTTCACTACTAGCTTGTAGTAAGGCTGATGTTCTTTTAACTATTACTTGTAGCCTTAACCATGTAGTCAATGTAAATTATTATCTAATAGTAGTACCTGTAGACTACTAACTAATTAATAATTGCTATAGATTTAACTATGTTCTCATCATACTGTATTCTTAACTCTACTAATTTTTATCCTCATGGTAAAAATAATAGTTTCATTCAAAAGTAATAAATTTGTGGGTACATATAATCCATCAGAAGTTTAAGACCCTATTTGTTATTTTGATAAATAATACGGGTCTGAAATCATGTATTGTTTCATTAATTATTAAAGCTTATTAAATTAATTACTTGATTTTTTGTTATGGCTGTATAAAAATTAAATGTGTTAATAAATTTCTTTTTATTTTATTTAAGACATCTTCAAATGCAGTCTTAAACTTATTTTCTTTTAATGGTAAATTGATGAATTGAAAGGTGTGTTGAAGGATGTTACCTAATAAGAATTCAATGCTAGCTAGAAGGTCTGACAAGCAAGAATATATATATATATATGGTAACTTGACCAATGGTCTCTATATTTTTATGTATGCCAAATATAAATAAAATATAAACAACAGTAGCATAACAACCAAAGAAGTTTATTTCAATTAAATACCAGTGGCATCAAAACTTAAAATTGTTTTATAATATCTTAGATAGTGTAAGTATTTAGTTTATCATATTGGAAGTGTACAGCTCCTTCAGCATTGAAATATGCTTTGAACTGATCTCTAATATTGTAAGCTTCTCTACCAGCTCTGTTATAGCGTTTTGATTTAACACACTCTGCTGCACTGGTAACAATCTCCAAATTTATATTATGCATCATAGTTTCATTAATTCCCTCTTTATCTATAATGATATTGTGCAACAAGCAAACAGCAGTGACTAGTTTGTCTATGTGTTTTGGATCAACTTGTAACTCTGTCTTTAGACATCTCCATTTAGCAACTAGTATTCCAAATGCACATTCTACTGTACGTCTGGCTCTACTATGCCTATAATTGTAAACTTCAACATCATGTGGAACTGTTGCTGGACCTGAGCTGTAGGGGCGCATTAGGTAATCCTTTAAAGGATATCCTTGATCTCCTAGTATAACATAAGGAAGATTAAAAGTGGTCCCAGGTAATTGTCTTGCTTGGGGGAAAGGAAACAAACCCATTTCTATCTGTTTATAGAGATTTGACTCTATAAAAACACCACTGTCACTTTGCCTTCCATATGCTCCAAAGTCTACACTTAAAAATTTATATCTAGCATCTACCAATCCTTGAAGGATGAGTGAGTGAAAAGTTTTATAATTAAAGTATTTTGAACCTGATAATTTAGGACATTTAATTCGAACATGCTTCCCATCAATGGAACCAACACAGTTTGGGAAATTCCATAAATCTTCATAGTCCTTGGCACATTGCTCAAGCATTACTGCTGTTGGTACTGGCATATGCTTTTCAGTGAAGCAGTTCCATATAGCATCACAGGTCTCATAAATAATCTTGGCAATAGTTGAGTGGGCGATTCGATATGAAAAGGCCAAAGATCTGAAGGCTAATCCAGTTGATAGGTATCTGGAAAAGAAATTAATCAAATTAAACACTAAAAGCAGGTAATGACTGTATTGATCTACTCCCCACTACTAGGACATTCCAACCTAATTTAAAGCTTAGTTATTGCTTTTTTAATGTATAGAACACATCTGTTAACTATGGTATTTAGTGTATTAACAGTACTACAGACACTTGCCTCAATGTCACCGCCAGGCGTTCCTCTGGAGAAATGCATTTCCTGAAGCTACTCTGTTTTTCTATGTACGGCCTAATATTGTTGAGTATGTACTCAAAAGTGTCCCTGTTCATTCTAAAGTACTCGTAGAATTTCTGGGGCTGCTCCAGCAGTTTTGGAAACAAAGTGTGAAATTCGCCACATTTTTCTCTTTCAGCAAATATAGGATTAACCCATTCCTTTTCGTTTAGTAATAAAATCTTGAGAAGCATGTTTTCTGCTAAAAGATGAATCTTCATTTGGTCGTCCATTTTTGTTTTGAAAACAATGCCTGCCGGTAGTCAGACATACGTTCTGGCGGGCTACAGTGTAACCGCCGGGGCGCACCCCTCTTCGGCAGATTGGACAACACCTGACGTCAGATGAAAAAATTCGGTCTGCCGACGTATAGTGTATCCGCAGCCTAACCTAAAAGATTCAGATCAACTGAGCCAGTCGGCCTATGAACAGACTTCCGCTTTGTAACAACAGCCTTCGCTTAACTTATCATCACAAGGTCAGAAATCCATTCATATCTAGATTCTAGAATTTAGATGTAGATTAAGTGTGAATAGGAATTAGTTAAAAGTTCTTAGATTAATTAATTAATCTAGATAGGCAGACAGGTCAAGTAGATTAAGATAGATTATATTTGATATCTATTAATTCGGTAATCAAATCTGTCGTTTTTACTTAGAAAAAAATCTAGACTCTAGTTCTAGAGTCTAGATCTAGAGATCTAGATCTAGATCTAGATCTAGATTCTACTTCTAGATCATTGCTAGGCCTAAGATCATGCGTAGTAAAAAAATCGGCTGAGGCTAGATCTAGTCTAGAATCTAGATTAAGATTCTAGAGAGATTCTAGATCTAGAATCTTAGAGCTATATCTAGATCTAGTATTATCTAATATCTAGTCTAGAAGATATAAATATAATTATAAATCTAGTAGATCTAGATTCTAGAATCTAGTACTAGTCTAGTAATGGGTAGATTTTCTGGTAAAACCTTAGTTTAAGTTTAATGAAGCTAGAGTAATGGGCAATGGGTAAAACTCCATAATTTAGCGTATTTTATTCCCCTCTTCACGTTCACCTGGTATTTTATTATATAAACACAACCGAAACACAAAAACAATTATATCATTAAGTTAAGTAAGTGGGGCCTAAATGTAGTATTTATTTCCTTTTAGCAGTCTTTTGATACAAAATGTCGGTAATCTATCGTTTTAGGTACGTAAAATTGCCCGCGGCTAGTAATGTACGAAAATGTTACCTCATTGTCAAGGCTTTAATAGAAGTATATTGTGATATATTTGTGTCAAATATTATAGATAAATGAATAATAAACCTAAATCAATGGGTAGGCCCTAAATATACAAAGTGACTACTCGGAAGAAGATTTTTCTCCCCAACGTCTCCACTTAGTCGGCAAAAGATAGCTCTGCGCATGCACTATGACCTAGGGTTAGGGCTAGAATGAGGGTTAGGGATAGGGTTGGTGTTAGGGTTCTGCGGTTGTAAACACATGCATGCGCAGTACCATCGAAAACATCGCCGCGATGGCAAGTGGTAGTTTCTCTCCATTGCGCATGCGTATCTTATTCCGGCTAGCATCTGCCCTAAATATATCAATATAGGCCTTGGGTTCCCAACCAGGGGGTCACGAAGGTCTTTTTGGGGGGTCGCCAACTGGTATACTAAACCTTAGTAATTTGAAACAAAACCTAAATATTTAGAAGAATTTTTGAAATTCGGCTTCATTAACATCACTGGAAATGTAATAGAGAAGAAACAAAGCGCACTGTACAAAGTTGTTCTCAGTCACGAATCTATGAAATCTTCAAAACTAAAACGCCATCTGAGACGAGTCATTCGGAACACATAAAAAAAATATGGAGTTCTTTCGTCTGTAAGAAGCTAGTTGCAAACGCCAGAGACTTGATCAAACATGAAGTTTTCACCAACATTAGTGCAAGCATCAAATGAAGTCGGGATAGAAAATGCCAAGCAAAAAAAAAAAAAGTAGGAGAAAATCTCATCAAACGCTGCATGTACGTAAATGCTAAACAACACATTTTTATCGAAATTAAGCTTTCACCATTGTTTGCTTTTCAAGTTGATAAATCAACAGATGTGAGTTTGTGTTCGCAGTTGCTGGTCTGTGTCTATATTCATGCGTATGATAGCAAAGAAGAGTTGCTCTTTTGTGAAGATAGCATGGAGAAAATAAATACCTTTTTTGAAACTGTATGATTAAAATGGGTTAGAACGGCTGTGGGGGTTTGTACGGATGGTGCGCCATCTATGTTTAGCTAAAAATCGGGCTTCCAGAAAACAGAAAAGATTTAGCTCCCTAACCACTGCCCTAACCAATCGACATCAAGAGTCCATTGCTAGTATAAATCTTAAATTAAATAAAATCTGGAGCCTTCAAAGAACTGAGCAAAAACATTAATATAGATCACGAGGTTCTGCTCTTCTACAGTACGCTGGCTGTCAAACAAAATGTTGTAAATTGTGTTTTTGAATTGAAATCTGAAATCAAATTGTTCTTGGAAGTGCAAAGGAAACAAGACTTTTTGGTATACTTAAAACGACAGAGTGGTTGGAGAGAGTATCATACCTAGCAGATGTGTTCGAACATCAAGATAAGCTTAACCTGAAGCTTCAGGGAAAATGAACGAATATTATAACTTTCCATGATAATCTCGGGGCATTTTTATCAACGCTGCAAAATTGGTAAAGAAAATAAATCATGGAAATATTGTAAATTTGAGAAACTCTGCGGTGTGGTAGATGAATCTGGTTGTGAGATAATTAAAATTTTGAAAGAAGCGATTTCTGGGCATCTTGAATTTTTGAAAACGGACTGCATTCTCTTCTTCCCTTGATGTTGCCAGCATTCCCGATGAATTACAAGATGAATTCTTTGATTTGCAGAATGATTCCGAGTAAGATGAAAAACTGCAGACACAATTTTGGTGTAGTGTTCACCATTCATACCTAAACGTAAAATTAAAAACTTAACCACGAAGGTTTAGTGAATATTATGCTATTTTACTCATGCTATTAAAATAGTTATCAAGAGTAGTTCATATTGAAAGTCTACTAGAAATTCTTATTTTAGTGCTTATTAATTTCCATACTAATTTCGGCTTTTTAATTCTATGGGGGTCGCGGGTCACTTACTTTTTATAAAAGGGGGTCGCCACTGGAAAAAGGTTGGGGACCACTGATACAGGCAATAGATTAACTTTTAAACAGCAGGATTTGCTATATAAACAGCAGCCATTTGTAAATTAGAGTGGCTTCCCTGAATCTTGCGCTATAAGTTTACAATTTAAAAAATAAACAAGATGGCTGCTATAGTAAATGAGCATGGTTGCATCTGTTGGAAACATCGCTAGTCTTCATTTATTACTGAAAAGTTTTAATTCAATAGTTTAAAAACAGGTACATAATGAAACAAGGAAACATTTTTGTATTTTTCAAAATATAAATCCTCCTCAAAATGTGAAATGATTATTAAAATTTAAGGAGTCACCTGTTTTTCACATTACTAGTCGCAGGCGATTTTACGTACCGAAAACGATAGATTACCAAAATGTCTAATATTTTGAAAACATCGCTAGCCTTTATTTATTACTGAAAAGTTTTAGGCAATTTCAGCTAACTGGAAGTGGAACTTTTTCTACTTTGAATTTTTCAAAAGCCGATAACTTGAGTACTATTTCAGATAGATAAATGAAATTTCACATGTACGTAAAAGATCTAATTCTCTACCTTCTATTAAATTTTGAGTAATTTCCGTCAACCAGAATTAGTAATTTACGCTATTTCCGATTTCTCAAAAATACGCATGTAAAGTACTAATATTATTCGGCACTATTGTGCACATTTATTTCGCGTTCAGTTAGTGTGCAATCCTTTTTTTCTACAAGATTCTATTCTATTATAAAAAGTTTAAGTAATTAAAAGTGGATTTAAAATATTGTTTATGTCCCGAGTTGCCATCCCCCATAGTGAATATTCGAGAAAGTTTAGGGGAGGTCACTCCCGGTTTATTTTCTTATCAAGTTAAGTAGACAATTATTTACAAAACATTTTTTACTATACTATCTATATGTAGGACCTAAGGCAAATAAATAAGTCTAGACAACTCAACAATAACTGACCTAAATTAGTAATTTACTGTATTATATTCTTTTTAAGTAATTTATTCTTACTAGTATACAATGCTATTTTAATTTTAGTAATAGTTTAATTGAAAACATAATGCAGTTAGATCATGAACAGATTACATAAGTTTAATGTTGGAAACAAAATAGTTTCATCCTTTTATATCTAAACAATTATTTTAGTTATTTTAATTTTGGGTGGAGCCTTAGAAGTTATTTTCTGACAATTTGGCTAGAGAAAGTTTAATTAAATAAATGTCATTATAATGTAACGGACGCGAGTGAGAAAGTATTCGAGAGGCCCATCAATTAATTTTAAAATCCTGCTCGGCGAAGTTACAATTAATGTGGTTATAAAATCCTGTCTGTATGGTTTATTTCGGACTTAACTAAAGATTGGATGTATTTGATGTTTTTAATATTTTTGGTAACTAAATAAAAATTTAAAAAAAAAGCAAAAACAATTTGGTTTTCATGTGTAATGGCGACATAAACAATGGCATCCTGCTATTTGATAGGCTTCCATAAATTTTATTGTACACATTGTAAGCGAAAAAAAAAGAAAAACTAGGCCTTGGGGTTTAAATGTGCATTGTTATTTAAAAACTTTATCTGCAAAGTTTTGTAAACAAATAAATATCGATCACGGTTCCTGTACAGCCAATCAATATTTGTCTTACAAAAGTGAAAATTCCAGTTATAACTTAGGCTTGATAAAAATAAATAGAAATGTAGCCTTAACCTCAACAAATTATTTTCAAGTTCTCTGGATTTGCAACTTTTATAGCATTGATTCTAAAAATATTAAATTTCTGAATTAATTTTAGGCTTAAGTTTTTATTTTTTTACCAGCTTTCGTGTGCCACGTGTTACTGCGGTCTTAAAGTTTAAAAAAATAAATAAAGACATTACGAAAGTTATGATGACATTAAATTTACATTTTTATTTGAAACTTATCAATCATTTTAAAAAGGAAGTATTATTACGTTCAATTTACATTTTCAAAAATGTATAAATCAATTTTATATGGAAAAATGTTAAAACATTCAATGTACATTCTTACTATAACATATTTATTATTGTAATATGGAAATATGTTTGACATTCGTCTCACATATTAATTGAAGCATATATAGCATTTTAATATGAACATTCAGTGTACTTTATTGAAATATATTGACAATTTTAGTATACAAATATGATTAACATTCACATTACAATGAACAATAATCTTTTTTAATAATGAAAACATTTAGTGCCTCGTTTTAATTCAATGAGTTTATTTGAGCGCCTGTGGATAAACGATGTTTTTTGTTTTGCCTTCTGGCACGTATACGTATAAATCTGAAGATTTTCCTACACGTAAGCAATCAACATATAAATATAATTGCAAGTTTAAACCACATATTGACCTTGCCCTTTGTTTATAGTCTTGGCAAAGCAAGGCGTACGGGAAATTGTAAGCATGTCTGTTGGTATCATTGGAATTCGTGGCAACAAAACTTGTTCACCCTTGAATTTTCCAGTCAAAATAGTTGCTTCAATGATATTGTGCATCATTTTTTTTTACTTCAAGTCTTGTACCATTGCACAGTCGTGGCGGATTTGATTTATATTTCTAAGGAGAATGATATGCGCACCATGTTTCAGACTTAATATATGCTGTGGCATACCTGGTAAATCCAATGAATTTAAGAATTCTGTAAGGTAACTAACAACTTCGTCTTGATTTATCACAGTGTTGATTGTCTTGTACGTTGTCTCTTATCCTGGTATTCTCTTTTGAATGGTGAAATTAATGGCGTTGACATAGCTGTTTGTAGCAGCTATTATGGCACGTTCACTAAGCTACTGATGGTCTTCAAACTTCTGTGAGATATTTGTGAAAACCTTTTCAATTAAGTCGTCTTGACTTGATGTTTTGGTGCAAATGTTTTCTGGCAAGGTGATATATTGTGACGATCTGTCAACTGCCGTCTTTCCATTCCCAATATCCAGCAATTGTTTAGCGAAATGTTCGGCAGATGCATCATATTGATGTTGAACATGTATGTTAGTTTTCAAGGTTATTTTCTTATCATGTCACCATAGAACAGATGATTTGAGACATGCATTAAGCTCATCAGCCGGTGTTGAACGTGGTATAACTGGCAGAGTTTGTCTAAAATCACCAGACAATAAAATGAGTGCTCCACCAAAGGGCTGTCCATTGTCCCTTAAATCTTGAAGTGTGCGGTCAAGCGCATCCAATGCTTTTTTTGTGCGCCATCATGCATTCGTCCAATATGATCAGCTCACATGTTTGGAGAACTTTGCCCATTCCAGAAGTTTGGTGATATTGCATGTTGGCGTCTCGATGGAATGCAAATTCAACGGTAATTTTAGGGCTGAATGTGCTGTTTGACCACCATCCAAAAGTGTTGCTGCAATTCCAGATGATGCAATTGCCTAGGCAATTTTATTTCTTGATCTTATCGCTGCCAAAATGATTGAAATAAGAAAAGTTTTGCCTGTACCTTCAGGTGCATCTATAAAGTACAATCCTCCGCTTTGATTTGTAACTGCTTGCATGATTGTGTCACAATATGTTGTTCTGGGACCAATTTTGGTAGATTCCTTTCAACAAATGCACCCAAATCATGGACGTAGAAGTCGTTTTCATGTTGCAAATCACGATCATAATTGCACCAATCCTTTGTATCCTCGATACAAAGCAGCGCCTCATCAATAAGCATAGTACTTCATAGCACTAACTTTTCTATTTATCTCATTTGTTTCTGGATTTATCATTTTGATATTGAAATGATACCCATTTTCCCCTTGCCAAAATATTATGGGGTATTGTAAAGCATCATAAGACCGATGCGTTTCACAGACTCGCTGAACATTACCATTTCTGCGATGAAGAATAATATCACACAAGTTGAACTCTTCACCATCTATGACAATCGCGACTTCATTTAAAGTTGGAGCATTATATTGTCTTTCATGCTGTCCGACTGCTTCTCTTACTAATACTTAAAATTTGAAATCTCGTTAGCCAGGGTCAGGTGAATTCTCAAATTATCATTATCAGTGTTTACGATTTTAAATAACTTAACATTAGCGTGAGTAACTTTTATTTCTTTTTTACAGATTTAATAAACATATTCACAATTGGTTTGAAAAATACTAGCTGGCTAGTATGATAAGAAGTTGGTGACCTACTTACAAGCCCTATAGGCCTAATAATCTATAATATAAGCGGCCAAGTAGTGTGTCAGTCAGTCAGTCATTCTTTTTACCTGCATCAGTGTCTTATTATAAACATTGGAGTAGGTTTTATTTATATAACGACTTAAATTTTTTGTATAGTTGGCACAGAGAAAATATTAAATACAAGCACATTGCTAAAACATATTAAACAGATGAATGTCAAATTTCGCTTATGCCTAGAAAAACATTGATACATTTTAATAACAGTAGGGTAGCGTGTCGCCTAAGATTTTCTTCAAGATGACTTAAATAATTAAAAACTGCCTATTCACTAGGCATTTCAGTAAGGAAGATGATTAAATTTTACAATAGCGAAATCCCTGGTTGCCATTCATTAAAACGATATGGTGCTGATTCACATTCACTCTCCATTTTAAAAAAATGTACTCTTTACATCTCAAGGTCTAAAATTATAATGTTTAAGTTAACAAAATTGTACCAGTTTTTAGTTTACTTCTATACTTATTTGTGAAAAAAACATACACCCTTCCATTTAAAATGTAAGCTTTTAGAAACACTCTGGGGCCAAATAATATCAATATAAAATATTAAGAAAACATGTCCATTCACCAATTTTTACTATCAGCCTGCCTGGCCTAATTTCTTCCAATTCCTGAGCTCCCAGTCCCAAACCGATTTTCACTTATCTGTTTATAACTTTGCCTATAACTTTTGAACTGTTTGAGATAATCATACCACATTTGATATTAAGGCTCAGTATCGAACAGGGTTACGTGACGTGTCTTATATGTGGTACATAAAACATAAAAGTTGGATGCGGTTCGACACCTTTTTTGAGTGCCTTGAAGCTTTGGGGAGTTGATGAGAATAATCTACAGGGTTTCTGCAGAGAAAAAAATTACAATTTTATTATGGGGGTTGCAATTTTAGTTAACACACGGTTTGGCGGCCAGAGTTCCTGAGCAACTATTTAAGCACTTGCTATTTGTTAATCAGGCGTCCTTACCAGCAGGTAAGGTGAACTACTATATTCAACGTTAAAACAGGCGCAGCCACTAGCACCATTTCTATTGCGTGACGACAAGTGCCCCGGGCTCGCCTGCGAGCACTATGACCTCTACGTTCATTTTGAAAAAAAAAGGCCATGTACTAACAAAGACACTATGAGCAAAAATGATCTTTGACTATTTTGAATCAGGCGTATCTCCTGGCGCCCCTGGAGGGTTTGTTTTGGCCTTAGGGTAATGGCACCTACGTTTGTTGATGCTATAGACAATAGAGGATGGCGCGTTATTGTCTTTTACAACACTGAATAAGGTTGCAATTTTGGAGCCCAGGGCTATTCCTTGAGCTAGGGCACATAAGTTTGTGTTAAAGAGTGTGATAGAATATGGATGAGAAGTCGTTATAGTTATTATATTATGAATTACGCGTGTATGCCGGTAGGGTGCAATTTGCCCTGGCTATCCTCGGACTTTATATATATATATATATATATATATATATATATATATATATATATATATATATATATATATATATATATATATATTTATAGTGATCATGTCTTTCTCAGGAAACATGGCAAATGTTATTATCTATGACGTTTTGTAAAATCTCATAAATATCCCATACCAAACTTTATTTGATTATTTACTTTGTTTTATATAGTAGTCTAACTAGACCTAGATTCTGCCAAATTCACATACCTAAAAACAATAGGCTACATTTAACTGAAAAAATTAGATGCCCAAACTTGCGAAATATGTAAATTTAATGGAGGCGAGCGAGTTTACGAGAATCCTTCCATAATGTTGTTGAACCGGGAGTGATCTCCCCGAAACTTTCTCGAATATTCTAATATAAAAAAACAGGAGATGGGAACTCTGGATATAGACATGAATTTTAATCCATTTTAAATACTTAAACTTTTTAAAATAGAATAAAATCTCGTAGAAAAAAGAATTGCACACCAGCGAACGCCAAATAAAATGTGCAGAATAGTGCAGAATATTATTAGTACTTTATAAATTTACATTAGTTTTTTGAGTAATCGGAAATAGCGTAAATTAGTACTTCCTGTCAACGGAAATTACTCAAAATTTGACAGAAGGTTGAGAAATAGATCTTCTACTGACATGTGAAATTTCATTTATCTATCTGAAATAGTACTCAAGTTATAGGCTTTTGAAAAATTGAAAGTAAAAAAAGTACCACTTCCGGTTATCGGAAATAGCTCAAAAGTATATAAGGATCTACGATTTTGATGAAATACTTATATATGAAATTTCATCAACCTAGCTGTAACGGTACTCAAGTTATCAGACACACATACACTCACACATACGGACAAGGTTGCAAAATTATGTTTTTCCGTATCAGTGACGTGTAAAACTTTGTATATACGAGAAAGTAAAAAACATGCTTCTTTTTAGATTTAGCAAACCGTAAAAATAATAAAAAAAACAACTAAAGCCTAAAATTAATTCAGAAATTTTATTTTTTTAGAATCAATGGTATAAAAGTTGCAAATCCAGAGAACTTGAAGATAATGTTTTTAGTTTAAGGCTACATTTCTATTTATTTTCATCAAGCCTAAGTTATAACCGGATGTTTCACTTTCGTAAGACAAATATTGATTAGCTGTACAGGAACTCTGTGATTGAAATAACTATTTATTTACAGAACTTTTTTAAAATAACAATGCAAATAAACACCATGACCTAGTTTTCCTTTTTTTTTCGCTTACAATGTGTACAAAATATTTATGGCAGCCTATCGAATAGCAGGATGCCATTGTTTATGTCGCCATTACACGTGAAAACCAAATTGTTTTTGTTTTGTTTTTTTTATTTTTACTTTGTTACCGAAAATATTAAAATACATCCGATCTCTAGTAAAGTGCAAAAAAACCCAGACAGACAGGATTTTATAACTACGCAGACAGGATTTTTATAACGATATTAATTTGAACTACACCGTGCATGATTTTTAAATTAATTAATGGGCCTCTCAAATACTTTCTCGCTTGCTTCCATTAAAAATAATTATGAAAAGTAACATTTTTTTTAGCGCTATTTCCATACTGGACTATTGCGATTATTAACTCGTCAAGGATGGATGGATGTGTGTCCTCAGCTTTAAGTCGTATCTCATCCTCAACGAAGCAATATCGAGGACTAGTTCCAAAAGCAAATATGTTAAGCAAGTTCCGAGGATGATTGTGGGCCAAAAAAATTCCCGGAATTCCTTCCTGGATTTCCCGGAAAAGCCAAAAAACCTCTAAAAAACGCAGTTTATGGCCCATATCTCGGCAACCAGACCACTTAGCGACTTGAAACATTTACCAATCGATTCCTGCCATAATTTAGAACAGGGGTCTCCAAACTGCGGCCCGCGAGGTCATTTCATCCGGCCCGCGGCGATCTTTTTGTCCACTGAATAAATGTTGTTAGAGGTGACTGAGGAACTTTGCACAGAAAATTCAAAACAATTTGAAAATGTAGCTTTGGGTGCAAATACCATTGCCCGCCGTGTTGCAGACATTAGTGAAAACATCGTGACTCAAATAGCGAAATATGCAAGCAAATTCGCTATTTTTCAATTGCAATGGATGAGTCGCTGGACAGTTGTTCCACCTCAACTTTTTGTGTTCATTAGAGGGGGTATAGAAATTGGCCTCTGCTGCAGTCATTTAAATTTTCTGAACCTAAAACGGCATGAGAGAGAAATCTAGTATCTTAGGGGAGGGGGGTGGACACTTGAAATTTGCAAATATTTCTATATAAATTATATTTCGGTGGGGGGGGGGGGGGGGGTAGACGTTCTTCTGGAGGGGGGGGGCCCTCCCCATAGATGTCTTAAAGAAACTCTGGCCCCCGAACTGATATTTCATAGTTAATGCGGCCCTCGGACTGAAAAGTTTGGAGACCCCTGATTTAGAACAATATTGCCGAAGAAAGTTTTCAAAAATATCCTTTCGTTCTGTCACAACATTTTTTTTAGAATTACATTATACATAATACACTACAGTACTATATAGCAATATAAAGATATAGATCTATAGGGAAAGGGATGTGTCAAACATAAGGAAATTGCGCTTAAATTTTCACTAGACTTTTTATTAACTTGTTTACTTTAATAGCCATTATTGATTTTCGTAACACCCATTTTTAAGTGCTAATGTAACCAGTATTTTAAAATGTTTATGGAAAAGGGTAATGTATTTATATTGTTTTTTGTTTTGAAACACATTATTTGTTTTCAGGATCAACAAATACAATTTTATTTTCAAAATGGCTGGGGACTTTGTGCCTGAATCAGAACTTAATCTTAAAGGATGGCAGAAGCATTTCAATAGCTACACATTGAGAGGGAGATTCAATGTGAGATTCACGTCTTAGGTTTAGATTCCAGATTAATATTCATAAATATAAAATAGCTACATTTTTACTGATATTCATATTCACTTCTCTTTTGAAACTAAATTTTTGCTGCAACAAACATATTTGTAGTTTTCTTTCATTTTGCAGTGGGTTGCAGCAACATATGGGTCATTATTTGGAGGCTTTATACTGTACAAGTTACTGAAGAAGAAACCTCAATTGACAGATCACTAGTTTCTTCACAACAAATTCTAGTTTTAGTTACTGTGAGCAAAATAATATTGTATGAGCATTAAAAAATGGTAATAAAAATTTGAAATACAACTTTTAAAATGTATTTTATAATTCAATTATTATACTAATACCACATAAATTTATTGAAAACAAGTTACATGATTATAATTATAGTTAAAGCACAACATAGAAATACATATGGCACTATCGCCCCTCCCTGTAACTGATTTCACATTAATTTTACCTCACTTTAATTCAGAAACAACAGATTTCACTTATTTTAAAAATCAGTGTTTAAAGTAAAAACTGATTTCAACAAGTTTTACATTTGGAATAAAAATTTATTTTTTACTATACTATCAGTTATATTATCAATTTTAGCAGAAAATAAATCTAATTTACTACAAAAAAATTAGAGATCTGTTGAGTAATCTACAGGGTGCAAAAAAAAATGCATTCATTATAATTGTGTTGGTACTTACCTTGTGGGGTCAAGGTGTGAGTTGTCTATTTCTGATATTGCTTCTCATCATTTGTGTAGATTCCCCCGTCATCTCCAGTTGCTTGGAACCCATTGTTCCATTATAATGATGGCACTTAGCATTGTCTCTAATTTTTTGCCTTGTTGTACGTTGGCGGTTATGGCAGCATTAACTTGTTAGACGGAGTGGTCTAGCGGTAGAGAGCTGGACTGCTAACCCGTAAGTCTCGAGTTCGAATCCGGGTTCTAGTCAGTAGACCATCCCTGACTCCACCCAACTCTGATGGGTACTTAACTCACGTTAGGGTAAGTAAAGGCGGCTGGGTATTGTGCTGACCACACTATCTCCTCATATGCTGAGGTCACAGAAACAAGTGAACTCTACTTCACTTGCCCCATAGACCATCAGGTTTGAAAGGGAAACTTTACTTTTTACTTTTTTTAAAGAAAAATAATTTGTTTCCTTGAGGTACTCTGCTGGGTTAACACTGGGCTACACCTTAGATATTTATAGCCTGTAATATGACACTCCCCTCAGAGGCGTAGTGACCCTTCCCGGCACCCGGGGACAAACTTTCAATTTGGCGCTCCCTCGGGAGTAAATTTTTATTTGCAAAAAACTCCCCAAAGTTTGATGACGATCGGATGAACGCTGTGAAACCGCAATCGACTTTTATTTTTACTTACAGTATCTAGAGAAAAAATCGCACCCCCCTGTGGCGCCGCCCTTGCGAAATTAAAAACGATTTTTTGCGCAGAAACCTTTCCAGGAATATTCTCAACATCTTCCCAAAGTTTTATTGCGATCGTAATAATGGTGTCACTGCAATTCACTTTTATTATTTTTATATACCGTATATAGAGGAAAATCGCACCCTCCCGTGGCGCCGCCCTTGCGAAATTAAAAATTGTTTTTTACAGAACCCTTCCCTAGAGTGTTATAATGAACTCCCCAAAGTCTCATGGCTATCGGATGAACGATGTCAAACCAAAATCGACTTTTATTTTTATATACCGTATACAGAGAAAAATCGCACCCTCCCGTGGCGCCGCCCTTGTGAAATTAAAAATGTTTTACAGAACCCTTCCCGAGAGTGTTCTAATGAACTCACCAAAGTTTGATGGCGATCGGATGAACGGTGTCACTGCAATTCACTTTTATTATTTTTATATATCGTATATAGAGAAAAATCGCACCCTCCCGTGGCGCCGCCCTTGCGAAATTAAAAATGATGTTTTTTACAGAGCACTTCGCTAGAATGTTCTAATCAACTCCCTAAAGTCTCATGGCTATAGGGTGAGCGCTGTCAAACCAAAATCTTTTATTTTTATATACCGTATATAGAGAAAAAACAAATCGCGCCCTCCCGGGGCGCCACCCCTGCGAATTTGAAATTTTTTCCCCCGCAGAAACCTCCCCAGGTATATTCACAACTTCCCAAAGTTCGACGGCGATGTGATAAGTGGTGTGGTAATGCATAAAAAGACACCTGAGTTTCTTCCAGTATTTACTTTTTGTAATTTTGCCAAGGGAGGTATTTTAAAAATAAATTCAACTCACGCTAATTAAAAAAAAATGTGAATGCAAAATATCCAAGAGAGAATTATAGTTGGAATAATATAATTAGCAAAACGTGAATGCTAAGTCCGCAGATTTGGCGCCACGGGCTAGACTGTGAGCACTATGCGTTTATGTTTGCATTTTAGTTGTGTTTGTAATGAGTGTTGTTTGTTTTTCGTTTGTGTTTTTTTGGTGTGTTTAAACTGTGCTCAGATATAGTCTGTCATAAATACAGCTTGATGTAACATGTTTTCTCTATCATTAGCAGGTTTACGTCATGGTGCCCCCAGAGCCGGCGTTAGGGGGTGGCGAACGGGGCGGTCGCCCTAGGCCCCGCGCTTGAAGGGGCCCCGCGCTTTAGCACTGTCATTGTTATCTGAATTAGTTTGTAAACTTTAACATTTTTTTTGCTGAATTCAATTGGGAAAAACTAAATGTTCGAATGCCGACGTTTTGGATTGTTATAACTGAGGCCACGGTTGATGCTAGTGAGTTATCACCCACCTGAACTGGGACAGGCCGTAATTCTATACCTCCCATTTGTGTAGGGTACGGTCGCCTCGCATTTGACCTGAGCTGACGAGTTCGCTGTATTGTCAAGTTGTCCTGATTTCTCACACGTCTAAAGTACCGACTTTCACAGCAGCCCGAGCATGCCATCGCGAAACTCATAAATAAGGTGTAGCTGGCTGTCACTCCCTAATTATAGACATGAACTTTCTCTTGTGAGATCGCGATCATGACCGGTAATGTTATACGTGGACGCTCTATAAACACAAACCTTGTTTTGAATGACTCCAGTCAGAGATCCATTAACGGGGTACTTGAACTTGGTGACCCTTTTTTTTTAGGGTATGGCATCCCATAGCCATAGATTTAAATGCAAAGTTATCCTTTACCTCCCCCCCCCCCACACACACCAACTGCCACCCACCCCAATGCTCCACCCTACTGAGCGTCCATGATAACATTTGAGAATCATTTCTTTTGGATATCCATAAACATACAGTTTGCTTTCACGATTCGTAACCAGTGTTTATTCACGACTCGAGCAAAGTCGTAAGCTATAAATGTTTTTCTATTTCTTTTTAACTTTAATTCAGTTTTGTTGATATTATGATTTGTCTAAAATTCTGTGCACTCTCTTTTTTTTAGATACACCTAAATCAATTGACTTTTATATTAATTTAATATCTTAGCAAGGAAAAAAACGACAAAGAACATTGGGTAAAAACGTGGGAGAGGTAACCATCGGTTATTAAAGGGAGAAGTTTGGCATTGGCTTATAAACTCCAAAACATTTATGTGTTATTATGTGTGCACGCATATTATATAGGCATATATATATATATATATATATAATGGATAAAAGCAGGCCCCGCGCGGATGGTTGGCCATAGGCCCCGCGTATACCTAACGCCGGCTCTGGGTGCCCCCATTCTTGTCGGGATTTGTCAAAATTGCTCTTAATACACTATTTCACGCTCTAATTAATTTCTATTAAATTAAGTGGGAAAAATCATTTTTTCTGTATATATTTTGCTTTTTTTTGGGCCTTGGTACCTCCCCCCCCCCCCCCCGTATGTCTGTAAACACGATAACTTTAGTACCGTTATAGCTAGTTCTGTATAAACTTTTCAGCAATTTCCGATAACCGAAAGTGGAACTTATTCTACTTCTAGTTTCAAAAGGCTATAACTTGAGTACTGTTTCAGATTGATAAACGAAGTTTTATATATATCCTAAATATTAGATTAGTAAAAAAAATCCAATAGATACTTAAGTGACTCACGCTTTTCTTTATAGTTATAGTAGTGTATAATTTATTTTATACTTTTTAGTGCATTATTACATAAAAGCTTGTTAAAACGTATAAGAAAAAATATTCATTACTTTAATTGTTTTAGACAATAGTGTTGCATGACTAAAAACCAGTGCACACCTAATGAACGTGATGATGCGTGTATAATAGTGCGGAATAGTTTGACGAGAAAGCTTACTAATTTTGACACAATTTTAATTAATTCATTAAAACATTAATTACGCAACCAATTAAGTAAAATTTAATGTCATGTTGCATTGACTTCATGCCTTGACCCACGTACCAACCGCGAACGGTATCTGTCAGAAGTGCCCGTAATTTCGCTCGGCCGTTTAGATCTAGACAGACTGACGACAGAGAGTTAAATAAAAGCTTGCAAAAAAAAAATTCATAAAAAACGTTTTAATAACAAGCTTTTATGTAATAATGCACTATAAAGGAGAAAATAAATTATACACTACTATTTAAATATCTTTAACAATAATAATAGCTTGTTATTGAAACGTTTGTTATGAATTTTTTTTAGTACTTTACATGTTTTATTTACAATAGAGTTACATGACTAAAAACCATTGCGCACCTATTGAACGTGATGACGTGTGTCTAATTGTGCGGAATAGTTTGATGAGACAGCCTACTAATTTGGACAAAATTTTAATTAATTCATAAAAAATTAATCAGGCAACCAATTAAGTCAAATTTGATGTCATGTTGCATTGTCTTCATGTCTTGACCCACGTACCAACTGCGAACCGTATCTGTCAGAAATTTCACTCTGACGTTTCGATCTAGACAGACAGACTAGGAAGTGAGTTTAATAAAAGCTTGTAAAAACCAAGTGAATTTTATGATCTGCGTCTGATAGTGCGGAAAAGTACTTGGACAGTCTACTAATTTCAGAATATTTTAATAAATTTTAACAAAAAATTTAATGGCAGAAAACTTTACAGGAGACAGAATTTCTTTGTGGCTTTTCTTCAAGGGGGAAGCACTGCTCCTCACGGTCAGTTGAGGTTTGTCTGAAGTATTCTAAATGACTTTCCAATGTTTCATGGCGATTGGATGATTATGTTTATTAATGCTTAAAGGACAGGCATACAATAAAAAATCTTTTAGCTGCCGCATATTGATTAAAAATAAAGTACAACAACAAACAAATTGTGATTAAGGTTAAAACTAGTAGAAAAAATCAATGACAAATTTTCAACAGCATATTTTCCTTGGGCCGCTATGGCTTGCTTACGCTAGCTCTACGGTAGCTATGCCACTGCTTTAGCAGAAAATTTGCATATAAGCACACAAGAAAGAGCCCAAACAATGTCATACAGATAGTGCAGCAACAGAATCATAGCAATATTTTGGGGGTGGAGGCCATGTGGTCCTCAGAAAGTATCTTCAAGTAAAACTTAATACTAGATACTCTTATGAGGCAAACCTTGTTTCCTTGAATTTGGACTGCACGCCACTACTATTTTTTTTTAATTGCATCCTCAGCATAAAAGGGTAGCTGAGCTATATCATGAGTTACTTCTCATATAACTAGTATGGATGCTAGCTTGGATAAACTTCAAATTTTAAAACACCATCATGTAATGTATTAAAAATAATAAAGAAATACCCCTAAGCCAGTAATGTGTTCATGTTTTTTATTCCAAGTATAACCACAGTAATTATTTTTACTCAATTACCTCAATTGAAAAGCAAATATATGCTCCTAAAATCTTGAAAGAATCATTTGTTATCTTCTTTTTTGTGTACTTATGTACAAAACTGAGGAAAATAAAAAATATTTATGAAAAAAAATTCTAAGCATTTAAAACTTTAATGATTAATAGAATAGGTTTATTCCTACCCTTTTCTAAATACATTTACATGTTGCTCTGATTACATAATTCAGTAACACCTATTGAGACTGAACCTATTGAGATTGTGAAGAATTCTCCCATCCACTTCAGGTACAAATATCAATGTTCATAAAGTATGTAGTTTTGTTGACGTACTTATTGGGTCATCCATAAATGAAGTCACGCTTTTTTTTATGGTTTTTACCTCCCCCCTCCCCTCCGTCACTCATCGTCACAAAAAGCCAGACCCCCACCCCTAAAATGTCGTCACACCCCGGCCAACAACCTGACCCCCCCCCCCCTCAAAATTGCAGTTGAATTTTTCGTAAAACATCGATATTTTTTCAAAATCTTGTCTGAACTCTGTCGATATAGAGTATTTTAATCAATTCCTATTACAATTTATTCAAACAGTTTTCTAAAACGCGAAATAACGTCTAAAATTATCTTTCTAACATGGCCTTTTTATAATGCAAAAAGTGTGACGTCGCAACATCTGAACCCTCCCCCATCACACACGGTCACAAAATTACGGACCTCCCCCCCCCCCTACGAGTGTGACATCATTTATGGACGACCCCTTACAATATACAAATAGTTGATAATCATATTTCTAAATCAAATAAAACCTTGAAGGTATCAATTTGGGAATAAGTAAAGTTCCCTTTCAAACCTGCGGTCTATAGGGCCAGTGAGGTAGAGTTCACTTGTTTCTGTGACCTCACATATGAAGAATTAGTGTGGTCAGCACTATGCCCAGCCGCCTTTACTTTCATTAATGTGAGTTAGGTACCCATCAGAGTTGGGTGGACTCAGGTATGGTCTACTGACTTGAACCTGGATTTGAACTCGAGATGTACGGGTTAGCAGTCCAGCTCTCTACCGCTAGAACACTCCATCCCCAATTTGGGAATATAAGAGCAGCAACAGTAGAAAATTATTACTTAAGTGGCTGTAACTTAGATAATATAGATTGCACATTCTGTGATAACAAAATTATACTAAAAAAGCTTTATATATAACATTTTATCAGAGATTTGGATTTTTAATTTATGGGAAGGTTAGAGATTCCAGGTGCAATTTATGTGACTAGGAGGTATTAAAAATGACTATTTCATTTGTGTTTTCATTTTCTTATATTTTAAGTTAACATACGGGTTATACCTGTGCATAAGGTGTACCTCTCTAAAGGTGTCTTTAAAATTCAACCCCCAGCCCCATTTTAAAAAATTAATTTTGTTTTATTAAAAAAAAACATTTCCCCAAACATACTACCTAAAATGTACTGTACTGTCAACCAATTTTGCCAAACATACCATTGTTTCCACGAATAAAAGCATCTCCATATTTGTTTTTTAATTGGCCATTTACATATTCTTCTGTTTGTTCAAGGGCAATATTCATATAACCATCCAGACAGGACAAGACCCCTATAAACAATAAAATAAATCTGTCAGGTATTAAATTTACAATATGAAAATATTTTTTTAAATAAAATCTAGCCTGCTAAAACTATACAAAAAAAACAAACAACTACATAAATTAAGTGCAGGCACAGTTATAACTAACCTTTTACCAAACTGAATTTCACAACATATAATCAAATTAGTTTTCTGAAATTATATACAGCTTAATTGCTAACCTTTCCTCTTTAAGTTTAAGGAGAGAAATATCTTAATATTGAAAAATAATCCACTATTTTGCTACATTTCATTTGTGAAAATCAATCAAAAGATCATTAGCCTACAGCCTACTTAAGCTTTGTAAACTGTGTATAGTTTTATAATTCTTTTTTTTCAAAAACCTATAAAATTTCTTATTTGTCATAAAAATGTCTTAATTAAAATAATTTAGTATGCCTAAATGTTAAGTGTTAATCTTTACCTCTGTAATCTACTCCAGAGTTCAACTTAACAACAACAGGTCGCCCTCTGATTTGGTTCAAAAATTCACTAGGTGTCTGGCGTCTGCTCATGTTTAAAATAATCTGTGAATAGATCTATATATTATTGTAAAAATGTAACTTTATATATCGATGCTCTTGGTCGCAACACGTCTATCTAAAAAAATGTCAATTTTCTGTTTTTTATATAAATCAAAAGCCAGTATAATTCCCCATATAAAAGTATACTTTTGATCAGCAACGCAGTGGCACAATGCAATCACATGATTTTGCACCACAGCAATCAAAGTATTTATAGGTAAGGATATTAGATTAATTAAGTTAAACTATTCTATTGCATTTTATCATTTTAAAGAATAATGGACAATAAGTATTTGTTTAATACAGCATATTTCCTGTTAGATTTTCGAGAACCAAACTGTTTTGTTTGCATTTTAATAGGCTCACAATGCTTTAAAATTTTAATCTAAATTCTAGAATCTAGACAGATTCTAGAGATCAATTTTAAAAATATTGTTCTTATTAAATTTCCACAAACTTGTGCAATAATTATTTTTGATTCATTATTAGCTTTAGATTGAGGGTTTATTTTATAAGGTAAGTTACTAAATGTTTGGCCTACATATTAAACAACAAAATTAAACTACTTGGAACTTAAATTTAAATGTAAAGCGGTAGCCTACTTAATATTGAGATCACTATTCGGCAGTGGCGTAGCTAGGATTTTTGGGCCCCTATACAAAAATTATCAGTGGGCCCACTTTGTCAGCCTTTAAGCTACAATGGAGTTAAACGAAAAAATCAACTGCTACTTATGATGGAGGATATAAAAAAAATAAAAATATTCTGTACATTTTATAATTTATTCGTCCTTATTGTGTATTTATACTATGTTAGTATGTAGTTTGTAAAAATGTTACGGAATTACAGTTAATTTGTTTTTTAAGTAAACAAACACACTAGCGTCACAAGGCGGGGACAGAGGTGCGGTCCGCATAGGATGACAACATTTAGGAGTGGCACCATGACAAGACATTGTAAAATTTACTGTCAAAACTAAGTTGTATAAAATAATAAAGATTAGTGGGAGAGGGTTAACACCCCTCCGAAAATGCAAAATTGTTGGGGACGATGGTGTGACACCTTTAGTTAACACGTAGGATAACATCTGATTTATTTAGATCTGTTTTTTTTCTTCATGCTTTTAATTTTGCAAATTGATTAAGAAGTCCATTGAGATCTACTTCAGCTGCTTCTATATGTTCGATTCTGAGAATGGCCAAGCTACTGACCCAATAGGCATATCTAAAATTTGTTTCATTAAAAATAACATCATCATAATGAGCAAATAATGAGAACCATCATAGACATCACAATCTTCCCGATCACAGTGGAATGTTAAAGAATGTTTAAACAAACTAGCGTAGCTACCGCATTGCTGTGATCTAGTCCCACATACCAGGGTAACAAAATAATTTGTAAGGGTTTCATCAACGCGTTACCAATAATTGTGTATTTTTAGTTGTGTGACCTTGTTTTCTAAAACTGAGATAGGTTTAGTTAAAATGTAACCTTGTTTTCTAAAACTGAGATAGGTTTAGTTAAAATGTAACGCCACTGCTATTTTTTCTTCTGAACTTTGTTGCGGGGGCGCGGGTTGTTCCACACTACCGCTCAGACGCCCCTGGGTGTGCTGTATGAAAGCATTGAGTGTACGTTAATCATCTTCCGTTATTGTGAAGTTGAATACCTTTTGTCGACCGCCTAGGTGTCAGGGGCGTCGCAGGAGTGACTGGTTACACTACCGTATGTAGCCAGATGCAACCTCTGTCCCTTGTAGAATATTTGTGTGATTGGTGTCATATGTATGCCAAGGGCGTCGAAAGCCGCCCCTGTTGCAGTTTGACTGTTGAAACAAGTAGCACCCCTGACTCTGCAGGACGTCCAATCAACGGATCTCGTGCACTGAGGTAGCCGCAGAGAAACTCGGGAGCCCAACCGTTACTACTGCTGTTGCACTAGAGCAGGGGTCTCCAAACTTTTCAGTCCGAGGGCCGCATTAACTATTAAATTTCAGTTCGGGGGCCAGTTTCTTCCAGGCATGTCTTTGATTTTTCGGCGCAAAGTTCATCAGTATCACCAACAAACGATTTTTTCTTTGGACAAAAAGATCTCTGCGGGCCGGATGAGAGGACTTCGCGGGCCGCATCCGGCCCGCAGGCCGTAATTTGGAGACCCCTGCACTAGAGGACACCCCTTATTCGATTTGGTAATCGATTTTAGTATCCCGACATATCCCTAGTGTATGGTGCTCATTAAAACGAATATAGGCGACCGCCGGGGTGCCGGCTGATGCGCCCGTGCAATTTGACCACTTAATCAAGTAGTAACGCTGACTCGCTGCGACGGATACCCAATCAACGGACCCCAGTTGCAGAGATAGCCACTGGAAAACTCTGGGTGGCAAACCACACTGCCTTACTGGCGGGGCACTGCCCTCAGAAATAAGAAAAATTTAATGGCAGAAACCTCCCCAAAAGTCAAAGTTTCTTTCAGGAAAAATGGGGAAAAAAAAAACACTTCCTTTGGCGTATTCTCAACGATTTCCCAAAGTTTCTTGGCGAAAACCAAAAACTTATAGTGTTAATAGCGCCATACTTATTAAAGATTAATTAGATCAACAAATGAAATGTCATTAAGGTAAAGATATAGTGATATTATTAAGGATGGGGCCTGTTTGACCCCCCCCCCTTCCCCACTAAATCCCACTACTTGTAAAGTAAGAAAGGACTGGGGGGCCTTTTTGGAACATTACATTAAACGAGCCGACCCGCGGCGTATCATACGCCGCTATTTAGTTGTTTTATTTTCTACTTTTCAGTAATTCATAATTTGTGAATTCGACAGTACCAATGCTGCCACTGAAAATATTTGCTTTAAAACACTAAAACCCTCCTTTCCCCCTACCCCTTACCCCCCCCCCCCCCCCCCCACACGTGAAAGCAGCCTCCACTTACTTCCCCTAAGTATAAAATAGTTTTAAACTAAATTATCTGCCCCTAATAGCCGTCACTAAACCCGGCTCTACGATGTAAACATTTAGCGTGAACTACAACTCACCAGACCATGTGAATGTGGGGGTGGTTGCGATATGCCTAGAGAGGAAAAGAGGGGACTGCTCGGCGCGCTTATAGCTTGTTTTCTAACGTCTCCCAGAAGAGAATTATATATATATATATATATATATACACATATATATATTATTTCTACAATAGAAAAGAAACGGAATTTTCATTTTATTTTTAAATTTAATTATATAAAAGAAATATTTAAGAAAGTTTTTAAGAGGACAAAGGGCCCCTAAATGCCTTGGGCTCCTATGCCTTGCTTACGCTAGCTTTACGGTAGCTACGCCACTGCTATTCGGTTTAATAAACAACAAGCATACTGCAATAATTACCACATTAAAATTGTGGCTAAGTAATTAGCATACTATAATGATAAGTATTACATGTTGAGATTTCAGATGACTCTGAAATTTTATTTACAGATGCTGCCATACATGAGAGGGAGAAGGCTGCTTAAACTTAGTTGGCAATCTCAAGCTGTGAAGCAACAGACAAATTGTATCATTTCTGTAATCACAAAAACATATAAGTCTGACTTACCAACAAAAGATCAGTTTCATCTTTTAAGATACCAGCCTCTCTCAGCAGATCAGCCCCTCTTAACAGACCAGTCTTATCATACAAGAGTTCAGCCTCTCTCAACAGACCAACCTCTCTCTCAACTGACCAGCCTAACAATACAAGGAGATCAGCCTCTCTCAACTGACCAGCCTAACCATACAAGAGATCAGCCTCTCTCAACTGACCAGTCTTACCATACAAGAGATCAGCTTCTCTTGACTAACTAGTTTTGCCAAACAGGTGATCAGCCTCTCTCAACACACCAGTCTTACCATACAAGAAATCAGCCTCTCTCAACTGACCAGTCTTACCATGTAAGAGTCAGACATCAGTCTCTCTCAACTGACCAGCCTAACCATACAAGAGATCAGTCTCTCAACATACTAGTCTTATCATACAAGAGATCAGCCTCTCTCAACTGACCAGTCTGTCCTTTAAGAATTTAATGCGACAGACACTGCAATACAACCTTGATGCCACCATCTACTTCAGTCAATTAGCAAACAGTTGGCAATATCTAAACTTGGGTTGCAACATTAAGATCCCATCCCTGCCCCTGACCATATATATACACACACACATATATAAGATCTTTTACATATTTTTGCGACCAAAGCTTTTTTGCAAGAAAGCAGATGTTTTATTTTCTTGTTTTCCATGCATTTGTTGTTATAAAGTTTTGTTCATATTTGTTTACTTTTCTACTTTTTAGAGATTCCTAATTTATGAAATAGACATGACTAAAAATATTTGCAAGCTGATCAAACTAACTTGACTGGCTTACAATCGCAAACTTTCAGTGTGAACCACAGCTCAGTGATAGAGTCTAGCTAGTTATTCCGCCTTCCGTTATTGATATAGTAATCTATCAAGTGATTTAATTTTGTTATCTCCCCTTAATTTCAAAACTTTTAATTAATTTTTAATGACCAATATAACATCTTATCAAATTAAAAAACAGATAGACTTGTATTGTCATCGAAGTGAAATGTCTTTGGAAAATTTGAACGAAATCACTGCATTAAAATATGGTCAAAATTGAGTTACAAGGTTACAAGTTTTAGCGGACTGCTCTCGCAAATGCAGCTTTAATTTAAATATTAAATAATATTATATTTTTAGGCCCTACAGTAATTTATTTACAAATCTAAATCTGTACTTAAGTCTATGTATTGGTAATCTATCGTTTTAGGTAGGCCTACATATTATAAAATCAGCCGAGACTACAATGTGAAAAAAATTATTTCACATTTTTAGGTTTTATGTTTTGAAAGTTACAAAAATGTTTCAGTTTCATTAATGTACCTGTTTTTAAACAATTGTATTAAAACTTTTCAGTAAAAAATAAAGACTAGATCTAGTGATTAGTGATGTTTTCATCAGTCATCATATGCAATCAAGCTCATTTTAAAATTTGTTAATCTATCGTTTTAGTTAGGCTAGGTACGTAAAATTGCCAGCAACGGTGACTCCTTAAATTTTAATTATTTTACATTTTGAGGAAGATTTATGTTTGAAAAATACAAAAATGTTTCCTTGTTTCATTCATGTACCTGTTTTTAAACAATTGAATTAAAACTTTTCAGAAATAAATGAAGACAGGCGATGTTTTCATCAGATGCAACCATGCTCATTTACTATAGCAGCCATCTTGTTTAAGTTTCATTTTGTTAAACTTTTAGTTATAGTCTTAGTTATAGGGCCTTGTGGAAGATTCAGGGGAAGCCACTCTATTTTACAAATGGCTGCTGTTTATAGAGCAAATCTTGCTTGCAAACACTGCTGTTTTAAGTTAATTTCTGGCCTATATTGATATATTTAGCCATTGATTTTGGTTTATTATTTAGGTATCTATAATATTTGACACAAATATTTCACAATATACTTCTATTTAAAGCCTTGACAATGAGGTAACCTTTTCGTACATTACTAGCCGCGGCCGATTTTACGTACTTAAAGCGATAGATTACCTAAAATTTTAGCAGCCATATTGTTTAAGTTTTTTTTTAAAATAAAATTATAGTTATTAACTTAGATCTAGTATTAGTTAGAGATTCATGGGTAACTTACAGATGGCCACTTTTTATATAGCTGGCAAATCCTGCTCGCAAACACTGCAGTTTATGAGTTTAAAGTTAATTTCGTGCCTATATATTTAGTATTATTTAGTACATCTATATTATATAAATAATTAATATATTAGGACTATTTTTTTAAAATATTTAGCCATTGATTTTTGTTCATCATTCAGTTATCTATAATATTTGACAGGAATAGATCTATATCACAATATAGTCAATATATAGTGATATACTAAAACTATTAACTACTAGGCCTATATACTATAGTCTATATATATTAGTATAAGTAATTATACTTTTATTAAAAGCCTTGACATTACAAAGAGGCAACTTTTTTCGCACATTAATAAATAATAGACCTAGAGTCTAGATCTAGACTGGGTAAAATCTTAGTTTAGCATCGTAAATTCGACCAAAACTAGTAATGTGAGAGAGAGTGAATTAATGAATATGTCATTAAATATGAGTATATTTTCGTATATTTTGATAAAATATTATAGATAATTGAATAATAGATCACTATTTATGGTTAAATCAATTTAAGTATCCTGAAATTAATTTTTATCAACCATGTTCGAGAATGTAAATTTGATATTAAAACAGCAGTCATCTGAAGAAAATGTTATTTAGAGTAGCTTCCCTTTCATTTCTATTCGTATGAAAATATATTTAAATATGATTGTCTTGTTGTATAGTCCGTATTACAAAGCATTTTTTTTTAAAATTCTGCCCTTTAAAAACTGTATTTCCTAACAAACAACTTTATTAATTCTAGAAGCATTGTGAGATGCAACTTGTATCCATGTATTAAATCACTTTTTTTTTACTAATGCTTATTTGATCTTACTATTACTATATAGTTTGAGTTTTTTCTTATTGTTTGAATGTTCACTATTTTCATTTCAGGTTTTTCTTTTCATCAATTAGTGATTCTATCGTAACTTATGACATTTTTTTACTTCTCTTTACCTTAATTAAACCCCAACCTCTGCCATATTTTTGTTGTCAATGTCACAAGATCTCTAACCATAATTTTGACAACATTAAATGTTTGTTGTCATCACTTATATATACAGAGAGACAAAATGTATTATCCACCAGCTTCCCTCGTAAAACATCATCTAAAACAATGAGCCAGTCCACCCTTTAAGTGCTTGTTGTCATTATAGTCTATCGCAAGTCTCCACCTGCCAGACACATTTTGGTTATCCTTTGTTGTCAAATTGCCAATATCAATTACCCAAGTGAGTGATATGGGGTTGTCCATAAATGATGTCACATATGATTTGCTACGGGAGTGAGTGAAGATTTGTGACGTCAACTCAGACGGCTCCGCAAATTATGACGTGTCGGTATCATGAAAAGAGGTGAATGAGGATAAATACCTAGGTGGTTGACGGAGAACCTCTATAATGCTTTATTCAATCAAAATAACGATAAATAAGTATTAGTATACGTATACCTTGCTCAAAACGAATCATCACAAATGTTGCAAGCCTGCTAGTTTAAGACATTTGGCAAAACGGTGGGGGAATGAAAAGGTGGGGTTCAAGAAATGCGACTCAGCATGCTTTTTTACATTTCTTGACCCTTCTTAATAGTTCTATCGTCCCCACTGAGAAAATGGATCACCAATGAATGACGCGTCATACTTCTACAGCTGGTCTTTCTCCCACAACCATCCCGTTTTCAGAAGAAAAAAAAAAACCTGACCCGTCTCCAAAATCACATCGCTGAGTTCTACTTAACCTCTCCCCACCACAAATCACAATTTCTATCTGAAACAATATGTTCATGTTTGTTCTGTAATAATGCACGCTGTCATTACTATCTTAAGAGCGACGTCAGTTATGAGCGATCTAATATTGATTTGATTACTGGAAATAAACTATAAAGTGTTCAAAAGTTTGACCTCCCAACAATTGTTGTGGTCTTGGATGCACACTATTAAGTCTGAAAAGGTCTATTAGTCTACTGTCTACTATAAGTCATTCATGTCAACTATATTGAAAATAAAGAAAAATTACTATACAGGCATATATTAAAACAATACAAAAAATCATATTAAATCATAAAATCAACACAAAAGACAATTTTTCAAGGGAAACTACTCAATTATTGTTTATGAAACATGGTCGCTGCTTGTATTTACTCATTGTTGTCTCGAACGGGGTAGTTTAAAGTTTATTCCAGGATATTTATTATAAGATATTATCCAAGACCAAACCAGTCATAAATAATATAATATTATTTATGACTGGTTTGGTCTTGGATTGTGATTTGTTATTCAAATTACCTCTTATATTATGTAAAATATGACATAAATATGGCCAAATGAAAGAAATATTCATTAGGTACCTTCATCGCACATTACTAAATCTATTAGCTACGTTGGAATTTACTACGCTAAACTAAGATTTTACCCTAGATTGTCCTAGATCTAGAATCTAGACTAGATCTAGCCTCAGCCGATTTTAGTAAAAAGTAAAAATCATTTTAAATTTTACGCACCAAAACCGATAGATTACCACTACCAGTCTAGATCTAGCTAGAGTCTATATTAGTCTATAATATTAGTATTTGGTAGTCTATATACTATCTATATATATAATTCTCTTCTGGGAGCCATTAGAAAATAAAATACTTAAAAAAAAACTTTTTAAAAAACCACGTTTTTCTTGTGGACTAAAAAGTAGAAAATAACTATTTACATACATTTGATGACAAAAAACGTGGGTACGTTCACCATCAAATTTCCCGACCCATCTGCCCGACCCACGTTTTTTGTCATCAAATGTATGTAAATAGTTATTTTCTACTTTTTAGTCCACAAGAAAAACGTGGTTTTTTAAAAAGTTTTTTTTTAAGTATTTTATTTTCTCCTTTTTAGTCCGTTGCTACACATGAAAAACGTGGTTTTTAAAAAAGTGTTTATAAATACACGGACTAAAAATCTTGAGCGACCAGGATTCGAACCTGGGTTGTCGCGGCCACAACGCGAAGTACTAACCACTATACGATCACGGCCAGCGCGCTCACATCGATTGGGGCCGAAGTAACTGTGTCAATAGGACTGCAGTCTTGTCGGTATCTTTAGAAATCATGTCCTCAATTTTATGGTCCTTGGGGCGTAATTAAATTAAGCTAATTACGGTCACTAATTGCTAGTTTTTATGATTGCATCTGAAATTGTTAGGCGAAAGTAGCATGCATGCCAAATTTCAGGTCTCTAGAGCAATCAGAAGTGGGCTAATTTTCGATGTCAATTTTAACAACAAACATCCAAACAAACAAACAAACGCGAAGCTGAGTTAAGAATAAAATACTTAAAAAAAAACTTTTTAAAAAACCACGTTTTTCGTGTGGACTAAAAAGTAGAAAATAAAATTTTCTTTTGTGCTTCCTCGAGCTGTGCAGGTTCTTGTGATGACTGACAAAAAACGTGGGTACGTTCACCATCAAATTTCCCGACCCATCTGTCCGACCCACGTTTTTTGTCAGTCATCACAAGAACCTGCACAGCTCGAGGAAGCACAAAAGAAAATTTTATTTTCTACTTTTTAGTCCACACGAAAAACGTGGTTTTTTAAAAAGTTTTTTTTTAAGTATTTTATTTTCTCCTTTTTAGTCCGTTGCTACACATGAAAAACGTGGTTTTTAAAAAAGTGTTTATAAATACACGGACTAAAAACTTGAGCGACCAGGATTCGAACCTGGGTTGTCGCGGCCACAACGCGCAGTACTAACCACTATACGATCACGGCCAGCGCGCTCACATCGATTGGGGCCGAAGTAACTGGGTCAATAGGCCTCCAGTCTTGTCGGTATCTTTAGAAATCATGTCCTCAATTTTATGGTCCTTGGGGCGTAATTAAATTAAGCTAATTACGGTCACTAATTGCTAGTTTTTATGATTGCATCTGAAATTGTTAGGCGAAAGTAGCATGCATGCCAAATTTCAGGTCTATAGAGCAATCAGAAGTGGGCTAATTTTCGATGTCAATTTTAACAACAAACATCCAAACAAACAAACAAACGCGAAGCTGAGTTAAGAAAAACGTGTTAAAAACGTTTTAACAAGCTGCAAGCACCTCCTTGCAGTCCCCTCTCTTTCTCTCTATCACTATCACTACCACCCCCACCCCACCCCCACATTGTCTGGTGAGCTGTGGTCACGCTGTTTACATTTTACAATCATAGAGACGGGTTTAGTGACGGCTATTAGGGGCAGATAATTTAGTTTATAACGATTTTAAACTTAGAGGAGGTAACTAAGAGGAGGCTGCTTTCACGTGGGGCAAATATTTTCAGTGGCAGCATTGGTACTGTCGAATTCACAAATTATAAATTACTGAAAAGTAAAAAAAAAAAAAAAAAAACTAGATCTAAATAGCGGCGTAGGCCTATGATACGCAGCGGGTCGGCTTTACTTTACTAAATCTTTACTTACCCAATCAGTGCAAAGTAAGAAAACAGTATAGATCTAGATTCTTCTACCCTACCCTAGTGACCAGTGAATCTCTCTCTGGTAAAATCACGATATAGCGTCGGTTATTATTCCGGAACTGTACAGCAGTAAAAAACAGTAAAACCATGGCGTAGTCTGTCGAGCCGTTCCGGAAACCACTGGAAATACTGTAAACCATCATTTATTTGCCGCCATATTATTTTTAATACATAATGTTTAAAAATGTGCAAGGATTGATTTTAGTTGCATTTTAAATACTGTTTTGCTAATTATTTTGTATTTCTAATTATTTTAAGTGTATGTGCTAATTATTGCTGCTACTAAACATTATTCTAGTTATTCTTACTACTTTTAACTTTAGTTAATCTATAAGTCATGGTTTTACTGGTTTTTTTTTTTGTTGTTTTTACTTTCTCGTATATACGAAGTATAGAGAAAGTATTGTAATCGTGCACAAAAATCACTTGAAATTTTAACAATTTTCACCGTATTACACCTCAGTCCTTCATCACATCCGAAGTTTAGAGGACTTATTTTAATCGGGCAAAAATTATCAATCCAGATTTATCAAAACTAAGAGGTTTTATGCGTAATCCAGTCTGAAAAACCGGGCTTTGCAATTCTGTCCGTATGTCTGTGTGTGTGTCTGTGTGTGTGTCCGTGGGTAAACACGATAACTTGAGTACCGTTACAGCTAGGTTGATGAAATTTCATATATAAGTATTTTATCAAAATCGTAGATCCGTATCAACTTTTGAGCGATTTCCGATAACCGGAAGTGGTACTTTTTCTACTTTGAATTTTTCAAAAGCCTATAACTTGAATACTATTTCAGATAGATCATTGAAATTTCACATGTAAGTAAAACATCTAAGTGTCTACCTTCTGTTAAATTTTGAGTAATTTCCGTTGACCGGAAGTAGTAATTTACGCTACTTCCGATTTCTCAAAAAACTAATGTAAATTTTAAAAGTACTAATAATATTGCACACTATTATGCGCTTTTTTATTTGGCGTTCACATGGTGTGCAATTAATTTGTCTACGAGATTTTATTCTATTTTAAAAACTTTAAGTATTTAAAATGGATTAAAAATCATGTCTATAGCCCGAGTTCCCATCCCCTGTTATTTTATGTAAGAATATTCGAGAAAGTTTAGGGGAGATCACTCCCGGTTTTTTTTAACTGCTGTACAGTTTCGGAATAAGTTGTGGATATGGATATACCCATGCTTCGCTACAGTGTGGATATGGATCTGGATATTACCTCAGAGTCTCCGCACTGAGGCGGATATTTCTTTAGCGCACCGCGCTGTCGGTCTCCTAAGAGCTTACCGCGCTGCGCGCTTCGCTACGGTGTAGATATGGATATTACCGGGGATCCCGGTATCGGGGCGGATATTTTTTCAGCGCACCGCGCTGCGCGCGGGTGTCGGTAGCCCTTTGGTGCGAATTAGGATATTCACGAAAATGAAGCTAAGGTAAAAAAGAATGGAGAGCCAACGCTCTCACGAACGTACCCAGGCCAGTGTTTCTTCCAGACTTTTTTCTCCGGGGGGGCACTTGAAATTTTCGGGGGGGGGGGGGGCGGTAAACTTTCTTCGGGGGGGGGGGGGGCGGACACTGTTAAAAGTATATATTTTCTATATAAATTATATAAATTTCATTTCGTTCGGGGGTTAGGGTAAACATTTTGGGGGGGGGGGGGCAAAGCCCCCCCCCCCCCCCCCCGAAGAGATGCCTAGAAGAAACTCTGACCCAGGCAGAGACTTGAACCCAAGGCGTAATTTAAACCGCTGTCAAACACCACGTTTACTCGGCCGTCCGTGCCCTAGGAGAGACTTTCAAAATATATAGCGATGACGGAATGACTGACACACTGCCAGCCCGCTTATATTATAGATATAACACTGGTGGTAGTGTGTCAGTCATTCCGTTCGTGAGAGCGTTGGCTCTCAATCTTTTTACCGTAATTTAATTTTCATGAACATCCATATTCACACAAGAGCGTTATCGACACGCGCGTGCAGCGCATTGCGCTGAAGGAATATCCGCCCCAATGTGGGGACCCGCAAACTCTGAGGTTATATCCATACCCACACCATGGCGAAGCACGGGTATACGTGCGGCGCTGAATGAATTAAATGATTCACCGTGGCGGAGCACGGGTATGCAGCCCCCTCTCTTCCTCTCTAGGCATATCGCTACCACCCCCACCCCCAAAAGTCTGGTGAGCTGTGGTTCACATCAAATGTTTACAATCGTAGAGCCGGGTCCAATTAGTCACGGCTATTAGGGGCAGATATATTAGTTTGAAACAATTTTAAACTCAGGGGAGGTAACTAAGAGGGGGGGGGGGCTGCTTTCACGGGGATGGGTTAGGGGTTGGGGGAAAGGGGGGGGGGGGGGTTATCGTCCCTAACGAGCTACTGATAGTGTTTTAAAGCAAACATTTTCAGTGGCAGCATTGGCGGTGTCGAATTCACAAATTATGAATTACTGAAAAGTAGAAAATAAAACAATTAAATAGCGGCGTATGCTACGCCGCGGGTCGTCTTGTTTTAAATAATAGCCTACATGTAACTAAAACATTGGTCTTACAGTTCGGATCACACATTTTCCCCACGTTTTCTTTCACTTGCTTTCGTCTCTGTTTGCCTTTCCAATCAAATCTTGCGATCGAAATTTCTGGCACTTCCCAGTTAGCTAGCGCGCTGAAATTTTCAGGGAAGCTTTGTTTTGGATGACAATTGAATATTCAATTGTTATTATTACTAAATTGATCCATGGAAACATTTTATTGAGCATTTTAGACCGCTATATAATCTATATATATAATTCTCCTCTGCGAGCCGTTAGAAGACAAGCTGCAAGCGCCTCCTTACAGTCCCCTCTCTTTCTCTCTATCACTACCACTACCACCCTACCCCACCCCCACATGGTCTGCTGAGCTGTGGTCACGTTAATGTTTACAAACCGTACAGCCAGGTTTAGTGACGGCTATTAGGGGCAGATAATTTAGTTTGAACCGACTTTAAACTTACAGGAGGTAACTAAGAGGAGGCTGCTTTCACCGGGGGGGGGGGGGGGTGTAGGGTCGGTTAGGGGAAAGGAGGGGGGTTAGTGTTTTAAAGCAAATATTTTCAGTGGCAGCATTGGTACTGTCGAATTCACAAATTATGAATTACTGAAAAGTAGAAAATAAATCAACTAAATAGCGGCATCTTTTTACGAGTTGTCTTCGTTTACCCAAAAAAATGTGAAAAGATAAAATTGATAGCAAGATTTTAATGCAAACAAACAGACAAAGACTAAAAAGTAGAAAATAATAATCATTTAAAAAGTTAAAAAAAAAACCCACGTTTTCTGATTGAACTAAAAAGTAGAAAATAAATGCTATACATCACAATAATGCAAGCGATCACTCTACTATAAGCGATCAAAAACGTGGGGCGCCGAAGTAAAAGTTATATTACTATTATTGGAAACTATCATAAACATTGCTATGCATGGATCAGTATCACACGAGAGGAGGCAGAACGAAAACTTCAGGACTATTAAAACATTAAATCAGCTTAATATATATATATATATATATATATATATATATATATATATATATATATATATATATATATATATATATATATATATATGGATTAACATATAATTTATTACGATTCTTTAAAAAAACCGTTTACCTCAGGCATTTCTTGCAACGTTTAGTTAATGTAACTTCCCCCTCCCCCCCCCCCCCCTGTTGCCGAGATATGGGCCAAAAACTGCATTTTTTAGAGGTTTTTTGGCTTTTCCGGGAAATCCAGGAAGGAATTCCGGGAATTTTTTTGGCCCACAATCAACCTCGGAACTTGCTTAACATTTTTGCTTTTGGAACTAGTCCTCGATATTGTTGCGGACACACAACCATCCATCCTTGACGAGTTAATAATCACAATTGTCCAGTATGGAAATTACGCCAACAAAATGTCCAGTATGGAAATTGCGCTAAAAATTATCTATATCTAGAACCAATGAACGTCATTCTCGCAAAACCTCGTTTAGACTGACGTAGATCCATGTATTCGACGGCCATTTTGGATGCTTATTTGTTGTTATTGTATATAGAGTCTAAACCTTCAATAAAAACGCACTAGACTCGAGAAAATATAAGGTTTCTTGATTCGAAGTTACGTATATTTGGACACTAATAGTAATATATATATTAAATTTAGTTAACAGTGAAATGTCTGGTGCATATTCTAGAACGAGCGGACTCATTCAGAGACGAAGTGCTGCTGTCAGTGTGACAAACAACTCATCCGATAATGCAGAGGTGGACGAAAAAGATGAAAAAATAAATTCAGGGGAAGAGGATCTCGACTCAAAAGAAACTCGACTAACTTTAATGGAGGAAGTTTTACTGCTTGGTCTTAAAGATCGAGAGGTAATTTTAATTGTTTAGACTTTAGGCCTACACATGTTGATTTTAACAACAAAATACTCAACTTAGTAAGTCTTAGTTAGATCTAGTCTAGATCTAGAATCTAGAGTCAAGTTCCACGCGCGGTTAAAACCCGGGTGCGGCCATCGCCTGTTTATCGCTTCGTACAATATTTGTTTTGATGTTTTATACGAAACTACCGATATCTGCTGTAAACCTGTCCATTTCTAAATATATCCAGGTCAAATTCTTTTGTTTTTCTCCTTCTGGAAGTTGAGTTTTTAAAGTTTCGAGGTATGACGTCGTAGGCGATTCTAGTTCCCCCGTATGAAAAACACTAGGTCCTGGATGAGATGAATAAACCAACCAATCAAAGCTTTTTATAACTAGGTAAACTATAAATAGCTTCTACAATATGTGCGGGACACTACATACGATAGATAAGGCTAATAAAGCAACCTGATGTGAATAGGGGTGGCCGCAGCTTGGGCGTCGATTTGGGTGGTTTCACCGCGCTGCGTAACCAACGACTTGAGCTAGACTAGCCTAGTTCTAGATGCTCTACATTTCAAGCTAAGCCTAGAATCTGTATAATTTCTATTTTTTCTGCTGTTTTAAATTATTTCGATCATCTACTTCTTCTAAATCTAGTTTGTGTCGCTACATACAAGCATATCTAAGCAAATGTTACATTATGTCTTGTCAGTGGTTGTTATGTCCCTTTGTTATGATTATTATAGTTGCGTCCCTTGAGTCATCACTGGGTCAACTTTTAATGTCGTTAATTAATTTAATTAACATGTTTTTAATTTGGTTTTGAAATCTATTAATTAATAATACAATTAACAACACGTTTAAAAGTGTAAAATATTTATTTTATTTATTAAACTAGGATTAAAACGTATAAAACACGATCGTTACGCAAGCCGGTTCAGATGGCCGCAGGGGAAAAAAAAGAGGGGAAAAAAATATCGCAAGTAGCACGTCACTAAAACATGAATATCTCAAATTCAATGCGTAGGAATATAAAATGATTGATACATATTAAGAGTAGAAAGGCAGAGGAATAATATAGTACTTTGGGTTTGTTTCTGTGTTTAACGGTTACAAAATAGCGCCCGATGAAAGTCGGGAGTTCGCTATGTGTGACCGGTTGTGGAACTTCACTCTAGGTAGAATCTAGAAATCTAGCTGCTAGGCCTACTTTTATAGTTACATAGTAGATCTAGGTTTAATTATGGATTTTTAAAAATATTCTGTTATTTCAAATATACCATTAAGTTCATTACCCTTTAAGAGAACATTTGACACCACATATTTTAAATATCTAGCTTACTCGGTTGACGAGAAAAGAGAGAATTTTAAAATTCGAAGTGACTACTCGGAAGAAGATTTTTCTCCCCAACGTCTCCACTTAGTCGGCAAAAGATAGCTCTGCGCATGCGCAGTGACCTAGGGTTAGGGCTAGAATGAGAGGGGTAGGATTAGGGATAGGATTAGGGCTAGGTTTAGGGATAGGATTAGGGTTACGGATAGGATTAGGGTTGGTGTTAGGGTTCTGCGGTTGTAAAAACTTGCATATCTTATTCCGGCTAGTATCGTCCTTTAAAATTATCCTAGAATAGAACATGAAAGCCAAAACCACGTTCTTGCCCCTCGACCAGCATAACATGACGTCGTGGACTTGTGTACACAAGCTTTTAATTCCTGCCATGGTAATTGTGTCAGCTTAGGTTATTTACTCACCAGAAAATAACAAAAAATAACTGGTTGATAATAAAACTAGATCTAGATCTAATTATTTATTGAATTGGTAAAGGAAAATATGCATTACAAATTCTACTCTACATGTTATTCATACCATTTTATGAAATAATGAACACCTGCATAAATTAAATGACCATAATACATATTTTTATTTCAAATTCTAATTTTGAATATGCTTAAAATAATATGATAAAAATGGATATGATAGTTAATAAATACAAATACATTTTACACTCAATTCACATTATATTGAGTCAACAGTGTGGCAGCTGAGGTTCATACACGGTATTAGTGTATATTTTTTTTTACATTAAATTTTTTTTCATCTTGAAAACATGACGTGTGATTTTTTTTTTTAAATAAAATCTTCCAAACATCGTCACTCGCGTGATTGCTTGCTTATGTTTACTATCCTGTGGGTGAAAAATCCCACCACGGTCGCGGGGTCACTGTGAGTTCAGCAGGTCTATAGTACACGTCATAGAATGAACACGTGTACACGAGATGGTCAGTGTCTTCACTTCTCTCTGAAAAACAGACCTACTTCCCTACTTCTGGTCATTTTTTTTAAAGTTCACATATCAGGCATGCTAGACAGCCAGCTATATAAAAAAAATATTTTTTAAACTAGATCTACGTCTAGCTTAAAAAAATAAATAAATGCTTAAAATGCCCGTAAACAGATTATCTAGCGCCAAAAAAAAAAGGCAGCTGAACGAGCATTTTTTAAAAATACGCAGCAATGAAAAAGGCTAACGGCCGATCAATTAAGTCTAAAAATAGCCCGTTATTAGGCCTAGCTCTGAAAAAGGCCACTGAACGAGCATCGTTAGAAATACTATAAAACGCTTCATACAAATTATATAGACGAATAGGCTACGCAGCGTTGACGAGGTAAAATACCGGTCACGAATTAAATTCAATGTCGGTCCACAGTAAAGAAAAAATCAATATACTAATAAAATTACTTTTTCTGCACACGCTACAATTGAATTATAATTAAAATACTAGACTTAACAGTTCATTCCGCAAAAAACAAAAACTAGTTGTTTCAGTCTGGCAACTAGCGTAGCAATGACGTCACGATACTAAAAATAGCAGACAGAAATGTCTGCATGGGTACCTCATATGGAAATTCGATATAAAAAAGGCGAATCAACATAACTGTAATTACTCATTATAAATATTTCAATTATATATTACTACTTTTGTACTGTGGGTTTCGACCGTGTACCGGGCCGTTTGAAGCGGCAATTCAGTTTTTCCCAAGAGTACTTGACAAGAAATGCGTGTATTAATTAAAACCACATATCTGGTGATTTTTTTCGGTTATTTTCAGGCATGACGTCCATTTATTTAGCATATTGCATTAAAATAATAATGAGAATTTGCGATATTAGCAGTTTTTTCATTTGTCGTGTATAGGACCCCTAAAAAAAACGACGAGTGACGTTTCAGGGTCAGCAGTGAGCCAGACTACATTCTACAAATTAGCTTGAATTATGAAATTTTAAAATCAAATATTCTGTTATTTCACATAAACCATGACAAGCCATACCCTTTAACAGATTATTAGAGGCAACATTTAATTATCTAGCTTACTCAGATGCCGAGAAAAAAAGGATTTAAAATAACCGATGCTAGCCGGAAAAAGATACGCATGCGCAATGGAGAGAAACTACGACTTTACATTGCGGCGATGTTTTCAATGCATGTGTTTACAACCGCAGAACCCTAACACCAATCCTAGCCCTAATCCAATCCCTAGCCCTAACCATAGCCCTAATCCAATCCCAGGGGTGCCACTTCTCCGGGATATCCCGGATTTCCTGATTCGAGCATCATATTTTTTTCCCTTTCCGGATTCGCAAGATTTGAGTTTGAAAATTTCCGAGTTTGCAGTTTAAAAAAAATTAAGATTGTTTTAAGCTTGAAAATTTTGGCATTGTAAAAATCGTTTTTATCGCCAACACTTCGGCTAATGACCCTTTCCGAAAAAAAAAACGAATAGTAAATGACGTCACTGACAATCTCACGCGTACGCCATGGACCAAATACAAATCGGCTGTATCAGATGGGTGAGGCTGTAGACGGAACTTTTTGATGTCGTTTGTGGTGTGGCTGTCTGGTCATTTATGACGATATGGGTTGGGGGTAAATTTCACATTAATTACGTGATGTCATCAATGTGATACCGCTAGGCTGTGTAATAAAATCAACTAAATCCTACCATTACTAGATCTAGCTCACTAGCATCGCCGATCGTCTTTTTTGTTAAAAAAAAAACGAAAGATTTTGCTCCGATCTAAAAAAAAACATTTTTTTTAATATTGGTATTACCAAAAGAAAAGAAAAAACTATTTGAAGGACTATTTTATGTATGAAATAGAAATGCTGTTTTCACTCAGCTTTACCGTCACTTTTTACCACCTCTTACCCGCTTCTGCAAGGTCGCGCTGACCGTAAGACCTACGTCACGAGATCACGCAAGCACAGTCGTGTCTCACGGTCAAGGCAGTTCTACAAGCGCTGTTTAATTTTAACGTGGTTATTTTTAATAAGGGCCTACTTCTAGTTTTAAGAAAAAAAACAACTAGATCTGCATCGTCATTAAACAAAATATGTAGGCCTGCTATAATTTAGTTACACGATCTAGCAGGGTCTACATCTAATTGTCGTTATTTTTTTTTACTTTGGTAAAATGTCATTGAAATGTTTAAAAAAAAACCTTGACGTTCCATGTTTGAGAAAATAGCCACTATCTTTGCCCCCTCCCAACCACTTTTAAAAAAAATCCACTTTTCACTTTGGTGGGCGGCTACATCTCTGACATGAGTATTACTAGCATAGTTACTTCTAAAATTATTTTTAAAATAAACTTAATTCTATTATTCCGCGATATGAACTTAAAACTTCCACGATATTTCTTTACGTCATCATGTATATCAAAGGTGGGGACATTGGGGTCATCCATAAATGACGTCACACTCGGAGGGGGGGTCCGTAATTTTGTGATGAGAGGGATTCAGATGATGTGACATGACACTTTAGCATTATCAAAAACCTATGTTAGAAAACAAATTTTAGCCGTTATTTCACGTTTTAGAATATTGTTTCAATAAAGTGTTATACGAATTGATTAAAATACTCTATGTTGACAGAGGTCAGACAAGATTTTGGAAAAATATCTTATTAAAACTTCCACGATATTTCTTTACGTCATCATGTATATCAAA